GGGAGCAGCACATTTTGTCAGGTGTGTAGGGTGGGTTCCTGTTCAGAGGTGAGTTTCTGTGATTCTGATGATTCCCTCTGTTCTATGGCTTTTATACTCTGGGCCCCCAATATTGGGACCAATAAGCAGGACTTTCCTTGTTGTTTGTTTTTTGGTAATTACGGAGGAAGTGCCAAGGAGAAATTTGCTCCCTTTGTGTTTGAGGCTTATGTAAAAACTGTTTGATCTTTTCCTTAATTAGTAATATTAAGGCCCTCTTCAGAAATGAGATGGTCAGGAATCATCCCCGGCAATGTTTTAGTCATGTGGTATTTCCCGCTGGGTTGGGGAAGGTCAGACCGTTTTCCTGGTTTTGTAACTTTGTCCGTGTTTAGACTGGGAATTCTCTGAGAGATTCAGGAGTTGATACATTCAGTCTTCAATGAAAATCTTCTTGAGTCTAAGTTGAGCTCCCAGAAAGTGGGATTCAAGGATCTGCCACCAGAAATGTGTTTCCCGGTTCTACCAGAGACACTTGGGTAGAGGACGGTCGGCCCACTGTTTTTCACACGCAGATCAGCACCCAGACGGTAGAACAGAGAGGCTGAGGCAGCCCACTGGGTTTCAATTCATTCATGTTCCCTCTCCGTTTCCCAGCTGTGCCTGAATCTCAGGCGAGACATCCCATCTTGCACATGCTTCTTTTTTTTTATTTATTGTTTTTTTGGGTGTTTTTTTTAGAGAGGGAAGGGAGGGAGATAGAGAGAGAGAAACATCAATGTGTGGTTGCTGGGGGCCCATGGCCTGCAACCCAGGCATGTGCCCTGACTGGGAATCGAACCTGCGACACTTTGGTTTGCAGCCTTCGCTCAATCCACTGAGCTACGCCAGCCAGGGCTGCACATACTTCTTTTATAAATTGAGGCAAACTGACGAGATAAGATACTGGCCAAGGTATATTTGAATATGGAAATGCAGGTTTCAGCCAATGTGGAAAATTGCCAGCCATAATTTCCTAAAATTCTTTTGTGCCCCATTCTCTCAGTCTTTCAGGTGCATCTGTAGGAGCGAAATTGTCGAGTCACAGGGAAAGTGTAGCGTCAACAGTGTAGAAAGAATGGAGCAGTGCTTCAGCATTTCACTACCGGCAGGGTCTCCTGCTCCCCCCGACATTGCGAGCCTTCTGAATTCTACTGGGACATAACTAGGGTTTTTTTTTTATTGAAGTATAATTAACATATAACATTTTATTAGTTTCAGGTATAGAACATAATAATTTACTATTTGTATATATCACAAAATAATGGCTACAGCAGTAAGTCTAGTTCACATCTATCATCATTCACAGTTACAAACTTTTTTTTTCTTTTGTTGAGAACTTTTGGGATATACTCTCTTATCAACTTTTAAATATGCAATACAGTATTATCAACTATAGTCACCCTACTGTGCATTACATGCCCATGACTAATTTATTGTATAACTGGGGGTTTGTGTCTTTTGACCCCCTTTGCCTACTTTTCCCACCCCCTGCTCCCCACTTCTGGCTACCACCAATGTGCTTGCTGTATCTTTGAGGTCAATTTTTTTTACACTGTACATAGAAGTAAGATCATATAGTATTTGTCTTTTTCTGTCTGACTTATTTCACTTAGTGTGATGCCCTCAAGGTCCACCCGTGCTGACATAAATAGGAAGATTCTCTTCTTTTTATGATGGAATAACATTTTATTACAGATATCTAGATATATATTACATGTACATATTATACTTACATATGTAGATAGATATAGCTATATATCACATCTCCTTCATCCATCCATTCATCAGTGGACACTTAGGGTTTTCCCGTGTCTTGGCTATTACAAGTAATGCTGCAGTGAACGTATGGTGTATATACTTATTTCAGTTAGTGTTTTTGTTTTCTTCCGGTAAATACCCAGAAGTGGGATCACTGACCTCCATTCTGTGGTCCATGGTTGCTGTGTCCATTTATAATCTCGCCAACAGTACATAGGGTTCCCTTTTCTCCACATCCTCACCGACACTTTTTAGGTCTTCTTTCTTTGATGAGTATCATTGTGACAGGTGTGAGGCGATATCCCATTGTGGTTTTGTTCTGGATTTCCCTGACGACTAGTGATGCTGAGCACCTTTTCATGTACTTATTGGCCATCTATTGCCTTCTCTGCCAAGTGACTATTCAGACCCTCTGCCCATTATTTCAACAAACAATCAGATTGTTTGTTTGTTTTGCTGTTGAGTTGCGTAAGCTCTTAATATATTCTGGAAATTAACTCCTTATCAACTACACAATTTGCAAATACTTGCTCTCATCCAGAAATTTGCCTTTTTATTTTGGCAATGCTTTCCTTTGCTGTGTAGAAGCTTTTTAATTTGATATAGTTTCACTTGTTTAATATTTGGGCTTTGTTTTGTGTTGACTCCAAAAAATTATTGCCAACATCTATGTGAATAAGCTTACTGCCTATGTTTTCTTCTAGGAATTTTATAGTTTTAGGACTTATACAAGTACTTAATCCATTTTGAGTTAATTTTTGTGTGTGGTGTAAGGTAGTGGCCCATTCTTATTCTTTTGCATGTAGCTGCATCATTTTCCCAGTGCCACTTAGTGAAGTGACTGTGTTTTCCCCATAGTGTATCATAAATTAATTGACCATATATGTGTGGGTTTATTCCTGGGCTCTGTATTCTGTTCCGTTGATCTCTGTGTCTGTTCTTATGGCAATGTCATATTGTTTGATTACTGTAGCTTTGTTATATCGTTTGAAATCAGGGCACATGATGCCTCCAGCTTTGCTTTTCTTTCTCAAGATTGCTGTTGCTATTTGGGGTCTCTTGTCATTCCATATAAATTTTAGGGCTTTTTTCTATATCTGTAAAAATATGCCATTGGAATCTTCATAGGAATTACATTGAATCTGTAGACTGCTTTAAGTAGTATGCATATTTTAACAATATTAATTTTTCTGATCCATGAGTGCAGAATATCTTTCCATTGTTTGTGTTTTTTAAATGTTTTTCATATATGTCTTTTAGTTTTCAGTGTACAGATATTTTTCCTCCTTGGTTAAATGTATTCCCAAGTGTTTTAGTCTTTTTGATGAGATTATCAATGGAATTCTATTTTTTTCTAAAAGTTTGTTATTAGCGTATACAAATACAACAGATTTTTAGATATTGATTTTGTATCCTACAACTTTCCTAAATTTGTTGATTTGTTCTAACAATTTTTGGTGGAGTCTCTAGATCTTTTTACATGTAATATTATGTCACCTACAACTAGAGCCAGTTTTACTTCTTCTATTCTGATTTGATTGTCTTTATTTCTTTTTCTACCTAATTGTTATGGCTAGGACTTCCAACACTCTGTGGATTAAAAGTGGTAAGAGTGGACATTCTTGTTCTTGATTTTAGAGAAGAAGTTTCTGTTTTCCAGCATTAAATGTGGTGTTAGCTCTGTGCTATCATATATGGCCTTTATGTGTTGAGGTACATTACCTCTAGACCCACTTTTGAGACTTCTTAGCATACATGGATGTCAAATTTTGTCCAATGCTTTTCCTGCATCTCTTTAGATTATGATATGATTTCTATTCATTCAGTAAATGTTATATATCACATTGATTGATCTGCAGGTGTTGAACCATTCTCGCATCCCACTTGGTCATGGTGTATGATCCTTCTAACGTATTGTTGAATTCTGTTTGACAACATCTTGTTGAGAAATTTGTGTCTAAGTTCATCGGAGGTATTGGGTTCCCATTTTCTGTTATTGCAGTGTCCTTGCCTAGTTTTGATATCAGGGGAGCACTGGCCTCATAAAAAAGGTTTTGGTTATCCCCTTTTATTCTATGCTTTAAAAGAATTTGAGAAAAAATTGTTAATAAATTTTTCTTGAACTGCTTGGTAGGACCCACCAAGGAAGCTGTCTGCTTCTGCACTTTTGTCAGTTGGGATGTTTTATTGCAATTCATTCATCTCACTAGAAATTGGTCTTTCCTGATGTTCTGTTTTCTACCTTGTTCATGTTCATCTAGCCAGGTAGGGTGTATGTTTACTTGTCTGTTTCTTCTAGCCTGTCCAATTTGGTATCATATCATTGTTCTTAGTAGTCTCTAATGATCTTTTGTTAGGTAAGTAAATCTTATGTTAATGTTCTTACCACAAAACAAAAAAAGCAAGGAGACAGAAAAGAATCTTTTGGAGGTGATAGATATATGTGTTACCTTAATGATGGAAAGGGTATTACGGAGCATGCGTAAGTCCAAACTCACCAAAAGGCATACATTAGACAAGTGCATTTTTGTGTATTAAGTTACCTCAGTGAAGCTGAGGGAAAAGAAGAAAACATCCAAATTTCATGACTTAGTTTCCTCCTCATAACACTTATTAGTCTCCCGCCTGAAAGTCTAGAAAATTGGTCGTGATGCCCAATGGGGCAGGAAAAGTCCTAAGAGTCTTATTCTCATGCCAGCGATACCCTGTTTCACATTCAAAAATTCTCCGCCCACCTGACCCACAATGAATGTGAGCCACTAAAACTAAAACGCAGCTTTATCCTCCCAAGTCACCAAAAAGAATGTGGCTCGTTAGAACTTTTATTCATTGCCCACAGGGAGACATGCTCTGCTATGCAACATGAGACTGAGACATACATTGTCCAAAGGCAGAAATTACATGACAGCTCTCTCTGAGGAAGCTGAAGCAAGACAGACACTTAAGAGATGATTCAGGGAGAGCTGAACTGATGAATTCCAACACATCAGGAAAAGGAAGCAATCTTTTCCATCCATCTTGAAAAGGTTAACCAGGAAAACAAACTTAGCTAATTTGATAATTGTTTGTTAATTAGGACAAACAATGACAAGGACAGAGCACTGGGTCTGATGACAGCAGCCCCCCAGCAGGGTATAAAAGGGGACCTGGGCAAGCAGACTTCCAAACCTTCCAAACCCACCTTCCTGGAAACTCACTCAGAACCTCCACTCTCAGACACCATGGTCAACTCCCGTTGTGGATCCGTCTGCTCTGACCAGGGCTGTGGCCAGGAGACCTGCTGCCGCCCCAGCTGCTGCCAGACCACCTGTTGCCGCCCCACCTGCTGTGTGTCCAGCTGCTGTCGCCCCTCTTGCTGTGGCTCCAGCTGCTGCAGGCCTACCTGTTGCACCTCTAGCTGCTGCCGCCCCACCTGCTGTGTGTCTAGCTGCTGCCGCCCCTCTTGCTGTGGCTCCAGCTGCTGTGGCTCCAGCTGCTGCCGCCCCACCTGCTGCATTTCTAGTTGCTGCCGCCCCTCTTGCTGTGGCTCCAGCTGCTGTGGCTCTAGCTGCTGCAGGCCTGCCTGTTGCATCTCTAGCTGCTGCCGCCCCAGCTGCTGCCAGACACCCTGCTGCCGCCCCACCTGCTGTGTGTCCAGCTGCTGCCGCCCCTGCTGCTGCAGGCCTACCTGCTGCATCTCTAGCTGCTGCCGCCCCAGCTGCTGCCAGACTAGCTGCTGCCGCCCAGTCTGTTCTAGTGGTTCCTGCTGCTGATTGCCCTGACCTGCACCCACCTGGTTTTCATCAGCCAATCTTCTTAATGTTGTCCAACTGAAATGAGTCACCAGAGGCCAATTGAAAAACCTCAGGTCTGACTGATTCTTCTACTGACTTTGGCCTCCAGATATGCTACCCCACCACCACCATATTACTATCTGTCTCCTAAAAGAACACAAAGTTTGAATTTTCTCTTGAAAGCTTTTGACCAACAAGTCATCCCAATTGATATATTTCTTCCTTGCAGATTTTTCTCAGATGGAGATGTCCCTAAGTCTTAAATAAATCTTAATTTTCCAAGCATACAAAGCAACAGCCTCGTGTTTCATGATTTCCTCTTGACTTGTCATCTTTAGCTGTCCGTTGTTCTGCCATTGTTCTCTGCAGAGAGCACACTATGACAGGCATTTGCAGGGTTTCTACCTCTACTCTGGGGTCAATCTTATTCTAATTTAGGAAGATGGTTTCTTAGAGCAAACACTCTGATCCCTCTGCCTGTGGACTTTCTCTGGATGTGGAGCAAGCCTCGGGCTGGCCAGAGTCAGGAGTTAATGTCTGTAGGACCAGTGCTCTCAACCAGTGGATGGGCGGGGCAGATCAATGCTCTAGTTTCTTTCCCCTCCAATGGGAACAAGTTGAGCCAGTCTCCAAAGGGCCTCAGTGGAATAAACCCCAGCTGCCTACAGGAGTAATCTCCTCATTAAATCACTCTGTATTGGCCTTTCTGTCCCTTCCCCAGCTCACTTCCCTGGTTCCTTACAGTGCCTTTTAGGATTATCTTCCAAATAAACTCCTAGATTTCAAGTTCCAGTTTTGCAGTCTGTTCCTGAGGGCACCCAATCTAAGACACCGGTGTTCCAATCTCGTTACCAGTGCCCTTGAAAACAGATCTTAGTATATTACGAATGGTTGCCTACTGTCAGTGTCAACTCAGACCCGGTAACCGAGAACATCTGATAGGGGTGTTCCCGTTTCCTCTGAGGAAATGGCTGTAAATTCCTTTGGGAAAGAACTGGAGAGATCACCCCTATGTGCACCTGCTGTGGTCCTTCATTTTGCAGGACTGGCCTCTCTTTCAATGGGTCAGTGGGTGGTAGGTGTGGAAACTGGGTGAGGGATCATGATTTTCCATTGGGATCACTGGCCTCAGCCTATGTAATTCAGCACACATCACTTTGCCCCAGTTGTCATTCCAAAATTGCTGCCCATCACATATTTATACCCACATTATTTCTTACAGGTAATGCTGCCACCTGGCCTCTGCTACTCAAGGATGTTATCATCCCCGTAGCTCCTCAGGAGCTCAGTTCTATGACAATATTTTGTACCACAGGCTCCAACTTTAGACAATGGACTACCATATTGCTTAATGATGCTGCCGACCTCCTTACCTGTTCATTCCTTATTACCTGATTATAGATGTACTGTACTCCCAGAGTCCTCCTAGGGAGCTTATTCAGCTGGTTGGGTTTCCTGGCCTTACGACTAGATCTATTCTAGTGTAGTAATTGCTGTGCACCCTTTGCTCTTTTCATCCTCATCTCTGTGTTGTGTGGCACTAGATAAATCTGGGCTAGTTATCTGTCATTATGTAATATTGCCTCAGATTTTAGCAGCTTAAAATGATGCTTGTTTACTCTCTCACAGTTTTGGTGGATCAGGAATCCAAGTACAGCTCAGCTGGGGCCTCTATTTTGTAATAATTCATTGGGCTGCAACCAAGGTCTAGAGTTTATCTGGAGAAGAACCCACCTCCAGGTTCACTTACGTAGCTGTTGACAGGATTCAATTCCTCAAGGGCCATTAGAGTGAGAGTCACCGTCCCGTGCTGGTCAGGTGTTGGCAGCACTGCTCTCTCTCTCCCAGACAGCCGCCTGCTTCACCAGAACCCGTGAGGGAGAGGGAAAGTTGGCTGCGAGTTGAAAAGTCCCAACCTTTTGAAACTTAACCACTTGATGTTGCCATATGCTGTTGGTTAGAAGTGAGTTATTCAAGGGGAGGGAATTACATAAGACTTTGAACACCATCTAAAGGCCATATAGAGGCTGCCTGCCACACTCTTCCATAATATTGAGTGAAAGAATAGAAACACATAATACCTATGTGTTCTACTTAATACCTTAAGATTCCACTTAATATTGAAAGAATAGAAACACATAATACCTATGTGTTCCATAATACCTTAAGATTCCATTTATATAAAACTCAAAAATGTGAAACTAAACTATATTGTTTTGGATGAATACCTAGGTGATAAAATTATAAAGAAAATTGCCGTGGTTGGTGTAGCTCAGTGGATTGAGTGCTGGCCTGTGAAACAAAGGGTCACTGGTTTGACTCTCAGTCTAGGGCACATGCCTGGGTGCAGGCCAGGCCTCCTGTTGGGGGCGCTCAAGAAGCAACCACACATTAATGTTTCCTCCCTCTCTTTCTCTGTCCCTTCCTCTCTCTCTAAAAATAAATAAATAAAATCTTTTTTAAAAGTTATAAAAACTCAACAAAAAGGTTACTTTAAAAGTCAGGACAGTGATTATCTGTAGGGTAGAAGGAGAGAGATGAGATCGAGAGAAGACAAATTAAGGGCCCTGTTGGAGAGAGCGACGCTCTGTTTCTTGACTTGGGTGTTGGGATGCATAGATATTTGCTTAGTAATTATTTATGTTATATTATGCATGCATATTTTATATGCTTTTCAGTATACAGTAGTCTTCCCTCCAATCCAGGGTTTTGCTTCCTGTAGTTTTAGTTACCCATAGTCTACCATGGTCCAAAAATAGTAAAGGGAAAATTCCAGAACACAATTTGTAAGTTCTAAATTGCACACCATTCTGAGCAGCAGGATGAAACTTTGTGCTGTCCTGTTCCAACCTACCTGGGTGTGATTCATCCCTTTGTCCAGTGTATCTGCACTCTGTCTGCCACCCACCCATGAGTCACTTAGTAGCTGCCTCAGTTGGCAGATCAACTGTCTTGCTATCACAATGCTTATGTTCAAGTTGCCTGTGTTTACTTAATAAGGGCCCCAAAGTTCAACGGCAGTGATACTGGCCATTCTGATATGCCAGAGAGAAGCCCATGATGCTTCCTTTAAGTAAAAGTTCTTAACTCAATAAAAAAGAAAACATGTGTGCTGATGTTGCTAAGTTATACAGTAAAATAGATCTTATATCCATGAAAGTCTGAAGAAGGAACAAGAAATTTGTGCTAGTTTGTTGTGGGAAGTACCTTGGGATATTTTGGTGACCTCAAGAAGAGTGAAATTTACCCAAAGCTATAGGTACTGTAGGCAAAGCTGACTACAAGTGTCTGGCTTGGCTTCTTAGCCTCAAGAGGCTATTAAAAGTTCAATCTGAAGATTCCATATGAAATGTAGCAAAGGCCTACTCAAAACCACAACAAGATACTGCCTCACACCTTTAGAATAGATATTATCAACAAGTAATAACAAGTTTTGGAGAGCATGTAGAGAAAAAGAACCCTCAAACACTGGTAGTGGAGATATAAACTGGTACAGCCACTAGGAAAGCAGTATGGAGGTTCCTCAAAAAAATTAGGAATAGTGTTACCATATGAATCAGCAGTCCTTCTTCTTGGTGTCTTCCCCCCCAAAATGAAAACATTTATTCATAAAGATATATGTACCCCTATGTTCATTGAAGTATTATTCATAGTGGCCAAGACATGGAAATAACTGAAGTGTTCTTCAATAGATGATTGGATAAAGGTGTGGTACATATATACAATGAATACCACTCAGCCATGAGAAAAGATGAAATACTGCCATTTGTGACAATATGGATGGATCTTAAGAATATCATGCTAAGTAAAATAAGTCAGATGAAAAAAAAATAAGTCAGATGGAAAAAGTCAAGAACCATATAATTTTACTCATGTGGGATATAAAACTGAAAGCAACAAATGAACAAATAAAGCAGACAAACAAAAACTCATAGACACAAACAACAGTGTGGTGGTTACTAGAAGGACAGGGGGTTGGGGGGAGGTAGTAAAGGGTAAAGGGGGTCAAATATGTGGTGATGGAAGGAGACTTAACTTTGGGTGTTGAACACACATGCAATGTATAGATGATGTATTACAGAATAAACCTATATAATTTTATTAACCAAAGTTGCCCCCCAAATTTTCCTTAAAAAAAGAAGATTTTATTTATTTATTTTTAGAGAGCGGGGAAGGGAAGGAAAAAGGGAGAGAAACATCAATGTGTGGTTGCCTCTCACACACCCCCTACTGGGGACCTGGCCTGCAACCCAGGCATGTGCCCTGACTGGGAATCAAACCAGCCACCCTTTGGTTCACAGGCCAACGCTCAATCCACTGAGCCACACCAGCCAGGCAAAAAAAAATTTTTTATCCTTACTCAAGCACAGGCTTAATGATTTTAAAGAGAGAGGAAAGGAGAGAGGGAAGGAGGGAGAGAAACATCAGTGTGTGAGAGAAACATCGATCAGTTACCTCTCACACATGCCCCAACAGGGGACAAAACCCACAAGCCAGGCATGTTCCCTGACCAGGAATCAAACCAGAGACCTTTAAGTTTATAAGACGGCACTCCAACCCACTTAGCCACACTAGCCAGGGCACCCCAAAAATTAATAAAATTTAAAAATAAATAAATAAAAGAGCCTATATGATCCATCAGTATTCTTGCCACTCTTATGTAAATAAGCAGGCCAAACTTAATAAGACTAGATTTGTTAAGAAAACAAATTAGTTTTACTACAATTACTTTTGGTAAAAATGGGGGTGAGTGTAGAGGAGAAAATTTTATTTCAGTAGAAACTATAATACATACCTGGTAAAATTAGATTCTAGTGCTGTTCATTGTTTTTAAGGTTTTGTTTTTCTGAATTCCTCTAGTCTCCTCATGTTTGGTTATGACCCTCCAAACTAATGTTCCCAATTTTCTCCAATCCTTTGTGATTTGTAATCATTCAGAACTAAAACTTTTTTTGAAGTGCTACAAAGGTAAATAACTTGATATGAACTTCAGAGAAATTGCCATGATGTTTCAGGTTTAGACACTTTTCTTCAGGACTATAGCTATGTGGGCCACTCCAAAAGCTTACCTAAACACCTGATGACATCATCAGAGACATTCAAACTGCAAAAGATACTCTGACTTCTCCATCTAAAAATATTCTTTTCTCTTAAGTGGCTGCCCTCTGGACTCAGGCTGGGTTTATGGTTTGCTCCAAACATTAAACTTTATGTTTCCCTTTTTTTTTTGCATAAAAATGCTTTATTAAATAACTGGTTTTTCACACAATATAATTCTAGCTTTGGAAGCCCACCAGTATCACCTGCCTCCTGAAATGAGTCACAGCTATTTACCTGAACTGACCTAATCTCAGGACCGAGAGACCTGATTCAATGAGTTTTAAAGGCTCGATCAACTTAGCTTTTGGACTGTGAAACCTCCTGGGGAAGTTTCCGAGGCAGGAGTGTAAGGGAGCAGAATCTGCCACCCCAAAATATGTCTCTTGGGAATGAGGAATATTTTAGCTGGTTATTTTTAAGATACAGCAGAGGAAGAGCTCTGAAAACCAATTGGAAGTTACCCTTTTGTAAGAGACATTTACACGTATAAGAAAAATCCCCATCTGTAAGAGTGTCTCCCACACTGTACCAGGGAGAGGGCATGACTCCATCTCTAGAAACTCTTATCAATGGAGAAGCAAGGACCTACCTCTGTGTAACAACTTTATCCTTGTTTACGCTGCTTTTCCTGGCAACCTCCCATAACTAACTCCCCACCCGCAATGTCTTCTTTGGTCTTTAGCTGACGATGGCATCTAAAGTGAAGTCATATGCCATCTTGGGGGTGTGACTTAGTTCCCGAGTCTCTCCCATGCGTACAGGAGGTATTCATGTTGTTAAACTGTTGCTAGTTTTTTCCCTGTTAATCAGATTTTGTCCATTTGATTCTTAGACCAGCAGAAAGAACCTAGAAGGGTAAAGGAGAAATTTTTCCTCCCCAACACTAAGTTGGACTCAGGCATGGATTCACTTTGTCTCTTCAAACATGTCAGCATCATGCCCATCAGGCCAGGAATAATCCTCAATCAAACAACACTAAGAAGTGAAAGTGTACTGAGCCTAATGAGGCCATCAGGAACTCGGAGAGTGCACCACGTGACCAGGTTATGAACAAAGCAGGAACGACGCTGACAATGTGACCGTCTTCCTTATATCTGAAAAAGTTTCTATGAATTATTCTCAATTAAGAAACACATGAAACACTTATTTTCTATATATTCATAACATTTAATGAATAACTTCCTTTTCTATAATTCCCAGTGACTATGGAAAACAATATAAACAACAACAAGGAAAGTCCCACTCATTGGTCCAAATTGGAGGGGGTGGGGGTAAAGGAAGGGGGTCCGGTGTATAAAAGCCCCAGAAACGGGGAATCATCAGAATCTGAGAAACTCACCTCTGAGCAGAAACCCACCCTCCACCCCGGACACCATGTGTTGCTCCCCTTGCTGCCAGCCCACCTGCTGCAGGCCCACCTGCTGCGGGTCCAGCTGTTGTGGGTCCAGCTGCTGCCAGCCATGCTGCCAGCCTTGCTGTGTGTCCAGCTGCTGCCAGCCTTGCTGCCAGCCATGCTGCCGCCCTTGCTGCATGTCCAGCTGCTGCCAGCCATGCTGCCAGCCTTGCTGCCGCCCTTGCTGCGTGTCCAGCTGCTGCCAGCCATGCTGCCAGCCATGCTGCCGCCCTTGCTGCGTGTCCAGCTGCTGCCAGCCATGCTGCCAGCCTTGCTGCCGCCCTTGCTGTCTGTCCAGCTGCTGCCAGCCTTGCTGCCAGCCATGCTGCCGCCCTTGCTGCGTATCCAGCTGCTGCCAGCCTTGCTGCCAGCCATGCTGCCGCCCTTGCTGTGTGTCCAGCTGCTGCCAGCCATGCTGCCGCCCAACCTGCTGTCAGACCACCTGCTGTAGGACCACCTGCTGCCAGCCTTGCTGCCGCCCTTGCTGTGTGTCCAGCTGCTGCCAGCCTTGCTGCCAGCCTTGCTGCCGCCCTTGCTGTGTGTCCAGCTGCTGCCAGCCTTGCTGCCAGCCATGCTGCCGCCCTTGCTGTGTGAGCAGCTGCTGCCAGCCTTGCTGCCAGCCTTGCTGCCGCCCTTGCTGCGTGTCCAGCTGCTGCCAGCCTTGCTGCCGCCCTTGCTGCGTGTCCAGCTGCTGCCAGCCTTGCTGCCGCCCAACCTGCTGTCAGACCACCTGCTGTAGGACCACCTGCTGCCAGCCTTGCTGCCAGCCATGCTGCCGCCCTTGCTGTGTGTCCAGCTGCTGCCAGCCTTGCTGCCGCCCTTGCTGTGTGTCCAGCTGCTGCCAGCCTTGCTGCCAGCCTTGCTGCCGCCCATCGTGTTGTCAGACCACCTGCTGTAGAACCACCTGCTGTAGGACCACCTGCTGCCAGCCTTGCTGCCGCCCTTGCTGCTGCTGATTGCCTCTCCAAAGAACCACCATCTTCACATACCACCTGTTAACTGACTCACCATTTTGGAAACATATTCATTACCTAGACTTTGCTGACAGCCAGCATGTTTGACCATAACTTCCGTTCTTCGTTCTGCTGATAAAAACTCTGAGTCAGTTTGATGGAGGGCAGAGGGTTTCTCCTGGTCCCCTTCCTCCAGTGGATGTGAATCAGGTGCCAGCTCTGTGCATCCTTGATGTGCAGTTATGGCCTCTGCTTTGACTCTGTCATCAGGATCTTCAGCCTCTCTCTCTATGTACTTTAGAAAAACAAATTCTTATAACTGTTACTTAGGTTTTCTGCAACTTTTGAAAATCTTCACCATCATGTTTTCTTTTTCAGTGTACGCATGGTTCTTGTAATCCTGCTTTCTTCTTTTCATGGACGCTTTGAATTGGCTCCCTAGATGCAGGGCATCTTACCTATATTTCTTAATAAAATTTGTACCCTTGTGCATTCCATATTGTGTTTTGTTTTCATGTACAGCACTCCTGATGTAAAGATTTATACACATGTTGCATATCATATGCATTATCCATTCTGAGCGTCATATCATCTCCCACAAATAACTACCTCCTTTCTTCATGTTGCACATCTCACAGGGTGATGTCACATAGCTGATATGGACGGACTCAGACTCAGAGCCCGGACCATGTCTCATACCTCTGCTCAATGGCACTTAAGTTTCTATCTCAAGACAAATTAGAAAACAAAATCCTAGGGCTGAGCACCAGCAAGATGTTCATTTGAGTGTCTTTGACCATGGAAGTGATATTCTCTTGTACATATATGCAGATAATACCTATTTACAAAGTTCTTCCCAAATCGGTGTCCCACACCTCGGCTACATGTTAGGGCAGCAAGGGCTGTGTTTTAGAGCCCTACTATGTGCAGGATCCTTTTCTGTCTCTGGTGCTGTCCTGCTACCCGTGCTCTCAAGGGCATCCAATACTGGGGAGCATCCAGAGTGTTCTCACGAGGAAGGGCTCATCCGAAGAGACTTCTTCTTTGCCATCATGTAAATCCGATTGTTGTGCGGCCGCCTCCTCCTGGTACCTGTTGACTAGAGTGGAAGGGAGTAAGTCATTCCCTGTGGAACTCTGTATGTTCTCCAGCTTTAAGGCAATTTGCCATTCTGATCAAATTAAGAGAATGGATGAGTTGAATTCCCTGCTGCTGAACTTTGGGGCCTGCCAGGAACAGAACTTCTGCAACAACAAATATGTCTGGAAGGCTGTGGTCCAAGGTCATTTTTACTGGCTATAAACGGGGTCTCCAGAACCAGAGGGAGCACACATTTTTTTAAAAAAATTGAAGGTGTTTACGCTCGAGATGAAACTGAATTCTATCCAGGAAAAAGATGTGCTTATGTGTACAAAGCAAAGAATAGCATAGTGCCCTGACTGGCGTGGCTCAGTGGATTGAGCGCTGGCTGCGAACCAGGCATCGCAGGTTCGATTCCCAGTAAGGGCACATGCCTAGGTTGCAGGCCACGGCCCCCCACAACCACACATTGATGTTTCTGTCTCTCTCTCTCTCTCCCCCTTCCCTCTCTAAAAATAAATAAATAAATCTTTAAAAAAAATACAAAACTTGATACTATTAAAAAAAAAAAAGAACAGCATAGTGACTCCTGGTGGTAGACCAAACAACACCGGAGCCATCTGGGGAAAGGTGACTCGTGCTCATGGAGACAATGGCTGGTTCGTGCTAAATTCCAAAGCAACCTTCCTGCTAAGGCCATTGGACACAGAATCCATGTAATGCTATACCCCTCCAGGATTTAAACTCACTGATAAACAAATAACAACCCTGACTGTGTGGCTTGCTTGGGGGCCCTCTGGCAAAGCAAAGGATTCCGGGTTGGGGAACATGGTTGGGTGCAGGTTCAGTCCCTGGTCAAGATGCAAAGGGGGGCCAACTGGTGAATGTTTCTCTCACATGTCTATGCTTCTCATCTTTTTCTCCCTCTCTCCCCTCTCAAATAAGTAAATGAAATCTATTTTAAAGAGTAAATAAAAAATACTAAGAGGATGTGGTAAGAACAAAGTTGGGAAGTGAGGAACTATGCAGTGGGCACGTACGACATAGTACCTGAACCCTCTATGGAAACAGAGCCCTCCCCTGTGTGTCCTCCGACAATGGGGAAACATTTGAGAGAAAGAGAAATTTGTGTTCCAGGGGGAGCGGAAGAATGTGAGAAAGAAGAAAAGAAGAAGAGGCCGTGCATTCCTAGTGGTCATGCTGGACAGAAGGCTGGTGCGTCGGTCCCGAATGAGCAGCGCTGCCTGGACCTTCATGGAGGTAAGGCTTGATACTGTTTGGAGCCTGAGTCACCTCCTCAGGAACAGTAGTGGGACCTCTGGTGCACCAGCCAGGCTGGTGTCCGGGACACGTGCTAAGTTCTGACGCTGTGTATCTGGGAGGCTCTGAAGAGACTGTCGAGGCCACACTTGCTGATTGCTGTTCCCTGGTGGCTGTTTGGGTGATTGAGATGAGAAACGAACATGTTCTGGGTGACCTCCTATTTGTTGGATATGCAGTAAGGGCCTGATCTACATATCTTTAATTCTTGAATTGTCAAAGGACGTATAAATGTTCCCATGTTAGAGATAAGGACCTGGAAACTGAGGAGGTAAAGCGATGTCATAGTTCAGTTTCTCCCAGGAGTGTCTCTGCAGAAAAGATTTAAGTAGTAGTTTATTTGCAAAGGGCAGGTCTCACCAGATGGGGAGTGTGGATGTGACACAGGAGAGGAGCATTGTTAAGCCAGAATCATAGTGGCAGCTGAAGTGTACACCTAAGAGAAAATACCAGAAATGCTATAAAGCACACTCTTTAGGATTTTCCCAACTGAGTAGTGAGGGAGCTGACTCTGTGTAAACAGACTCTCCAGAAGCATCGGCTGAGTGTTTTTCTCAGTGTGACACACACGGGCAGCATGCCTTTCAGTTATTGCAAAAAAAAAAAAAAAACCTCTTAGGCATAGAGATATAGATCTGGCTGATAAAAACTTGCCTGAACACACTAAAATCCCAAACATATGGGTGGTGTATTCAAAACCTCTTCTACAGTCTGTGATTTTCTCCACTCAAATCCAATATTGGGTTCTTCAGTGTGGTGGACACCCATAGTTTCTAGAAGAAGAGGAATGAGGATGAAGAAAAGGTGGTGGAGGAGAAGAAGAAGAAAGGGAAGAGGAAGAAGGAGGAAGAGGGGGAGGGGAAGGAGGAAGAGGAGGAGGGGAAGGAGAATGAGAAAGAGAAAGGAAAGGAGAAGGAGGAAGAAGGGGAGGGAAACAAGGAGAGAGAGAAGGAAGAAAAAGAAAGAGAAAGAACAAGAAAATAACACAGTACGTGTGTAGTCAGGGATGTGAGGTCACTGACTCTGCTGGTTAACGAGGTTAGGACCGGAGGGACAACTCATCCTGGTTTGCCCAAACTGCCCCAGTTGTACCACTGGGGAGTCCCATGTCCCAGGAGACCCCTTCGTCCTGGGTAATTAGGACTAGGGGTCACCCAGGAGGTAAAATGACTGATATTTTCAGCCCCAGCTCCTGCTTTTACCCACCTGCTTTGGTTCTGCCCTGCGTATGAAGGAGATTATGCCAAACATCCTCCACTCAAGTGTCTGCAATAGAGCTGGGGAACACAGGTAGGAGACGTTGCTCCAGAGGGCTATCTGTCATGGCCTTGAATCGGGCTTTTATGGGGGAACAGACGTGGACTCGAGCATGGTTTTAGTTTGTCCCTGTGAACATCTCAGCATCATACCACATGCCACAGGGATACGTCCCAGTCGAAGTCAGCTGAAGAAACAAACTGGGAAGGACACCTGTCCTGACCCTTAAGAGGCCATCAGGGACTTTATCATACAACCAGGATGCGATCAGAGCAGGAAGGATGCTGATGATGTGGCCACCTTCCTTTTATCTAAAAAAGGTTCTATGAATTATTCTCAATTAAGAAACACATTAATCACTTGTTTTCTAAAGATTCATATCGTTTAAGAAACAACTTCCTTTTTACATCTCCCCCAGTGAATATGGAAAACAAATATAAACAACAACAAGGAAAGTCCTACCTATTGGTCCAAACTTCGGGAGGTACTATGTATAAAAGCCCAGCATAGGAGGAGTCATAAGATTCTGGAAAATCTACCACTGAACAGGAGTTCATACTCCATCCCTGACACTATGGCCTATCCGTGCTGCCCCCCTTCTTGTCAGCCTACCTGCTGTGGGACCACCTGCTCTGGGACCACCTGCTGCTGACCCAGCTGCTACTGCAGCCCCTGCTGTGCGTCCAGCTGCTGCCGGCCGTGCTGCTGCCAATCATCTCACCATGGAACATTGTCACACAAACTAACCTTCTGATACTCAACCTGTCACCACTTCAGTTACTGCCACAATAACCAGGTTTCACTAATATCCAGCTGCCACCATCTTCCTACTTGTCATTCTTGATTAAAAGGTGCTGTGAGTAGACATGGTAACACACAGTCACCTTCAGCCCATTTTCCTCATCTTTATTTGCTTCCATCTCTGTGATAGCTCAGGTCTTAGGTCTCCTTGACCTCCAGCCATTGTGGTCAGCCTTACAAAAATGATCACCACTTTCCCTCTAAGTAAGCTAAAGCACAACTCATTATGATAGGCTTCCTCCATGTTTACTGTATTATTATGATCTTTTTTCTAATGTGCTCATTACCAAGCAGACTGGGGCCCATCCATGTGGCACCCCGGAGAATGACCCAACGATTAATGCTGGAAGGAACAGGTCTTTATTTACAATAGTCCAACCTTGGGGTGTCTCAGAGCACCTCAGCTCGGAGCCCTCCTTTCCCACGAGACCCAGCACTTCCCAGCTCCCCACCAGGCTACTAGCCAAAAGCACCCTCAAAAGTTTCCCATTTTCGTATCTGTGCAGGATCTGGAATATGTTGTTATCAGCCTCCATGTAATAGCT